TCTTTTGACCCCATTTCCGGATCATTTCTTGGCTTGGTGTGTACATGGTGTTTATCTCGGTTTGGACCCTGTCTTGCTTTTGACCTTGTTTCATTAGATTTACCCTTTGTGCTTTTGACTGTTTTGTGCTTTGTGCTTTTCACTGGCTTTGACCACCAGTCTGCTCCACCATGGACTTGAATTATATTCCCTGCCTGCTACCCTATCATCTCTGCCTGTGTGCACAACTTTGCTGTGTCATTAAATCCATAACTAGCTGCAGCACCACATTGTCTGTGTGCTCAGCTTGCTCAGCTCTCTTGACAGTGCTTCCTGCTATGTGCATGCAGCACTGCTCAACTACCTCCTTACCGAGTGCTGCCGCACTGTTTCTTCTGACTACACGCTGCCTGTTCAGTTTCCTCATGTGCACACTGCCAGTGCAGGTCTGCTCTCATATGCCTAAAAGCTACCAAGTGGGTTCAACTTATGACTCTCCATACACTGCTGCTTCCATCGAGCAATTCAAGGAGTTGTATAGAAAATGAAACCTTCAATGACTTTCTAGAATTCCTTATTGGAATTATACTTAGCATATACATGACTCTTCATCACACATTGTCTTAGAACCAATATACCTGTTTCTACATGATTTCAGCATATGCTCCTATACTAGATTCTGACAATGAAACCCAGGCAATGATTTCCATATCAAGCACAATCTAATTCTTTGTAGCAGAAGGAGGACAGAATAATTCTAGGGGGAGGCTTCAATGCTAGAACTGGCATCTGAGCATCTGAGAAGGCTCTGTATGTTTCAGTGTACAGATGTTTTTGAGAGATCCAGTTCAGATTCCAGAAGGGGTTATGCTATGTGCTAAATGTACTGTATAGATAATATAATGAGTCATTCGTTAAGTACTGTATTTTAAATTTAATTAGGAAAAATTAATACAATTTCTGACCACACTATATGAATTTAACCAAGAACAGGAATTATGCATAAGTTCTCTGAAAGAAGGCTATTCAGTCCACTGAAAATAAACTATTTAACCTTTACTCAAAAAAATATCCACCAGATACATGGTCTTCAACATAAGGATTTGAAATGTTTGCAGCATGTAAAGTATCCATGAAGATCCCTTAAAGCTAAATTAAACTTTGAGTAAACTGTGATATAATCTATTTACTACCCGAAAAAGCAATTGCATTGGCAATATAACTGCAGTAAGTAAAAGAACAGAATGAGGAACTAGCAATAACTGAAGTAACTAGAAAATCCCTCATTCATATACTGTAGGTATGCACCTTTACTGATAGATACTTACAGGTAGATTCCCAGATTGTCAGTGGAAGCAGGAAACAGAAGTCTGTCATTATATAGCTATATAGTAAGAAAGATTCCGTCATGTAACATCACATCCCCAAACAAGTTTGCTTTACTTCATTACTTGGAAACAGATATTTAAGATTTTGGCAGCACTTGGGTCGACATTATCCCATATACTAATATTCAGGCGTCCATTATAAAGTTCAATTAGTGCAAGTGCCAGCAAATATACAAGGAAAACAGAAGTAGTAATTGTTGAAGAGTCTAATCTCAGGAATAATGCTAGTGAAATATACAACTGAAACCTTGAATATGCTTTTTCCCCTGAGAAGGTGTGGTGAACATCATCCGAAGAGAAGACTGTTGTTTCAACAGGTGTGTCAAGAATCTAGGGACAATAGTCAAACACCTAGATAGTGTCAAGTTTTAATTAACAGGAGCTTAAAATTGAGAAAGGAACTTAAGTGTTTGCTTGGGTCTGAGACACTTATCAATGCAATTGTCCTGTTTATCTTGGTTAATTAAGTTTTGGGTAAATGATTAAGAGTCATCAACAGTTGCATATAACAGGCAGTTAGATAGAGGATTGGAGGACACAGAAAGAGGAGAAAGTAGGACAGAGAGAGAAGAAGGGATGACAGAGAGAGAGGAAAGGCAATGAGAGATTGAACAGCAGGACACAAAGGAAGAGGAGAAGAGACAGTGCCTGTCATGATCATAATCCCTCATCTTAAAGGCGTTCTGACCCTCCGTCCCTTTTTCATATTTTAGTTAATTATGTGCTCCTGCCACCTGTTTTGTGTCCCATTATTTAAGCCTGGCGCTCTTGCTATTCCTGGCTCAGCATTGGGAAATGGAAGCCCGGAAGCCCATCTACCAGCAGGTCCAGGAGAGACCCGAGCGCATAAGCTTCATCATGGCATCCTGACCATCTCCGACCGGGGCTCGGAGTGCCTGGCCTTGTTATTCTGGTTTTATTCCCTGTCCCTGTTCCAGATTCCGTTCTGGATTTTTACCTTGTTTGACTCGTCTTGGATGGATTCCCCGGTTTTGGACTTTGGACTGCGTTACAGATTTCCCTTTGGACTGTCTGGATCTGTTTGTCCTTGCCACACCCACCGAGCACCGGATCACTATCGCCATGTCCCCCTGTCTGTCAACCCATCCTGATCATCTACATCTCTTCCTTGTTGTCCTTCTCCACTTACTTCTGGATTATACTGTCTGCATAGGGTCCTGAACTACGCCTCTCAGGAGTCTGGACTTGGTCCCATTACAGTGTCAGGCAGTGGTGTCATTGTTCTAATCAGCCTTGAAGAGCAGATTTCAACCTTGTTAAGAGAACTTGCCATTCTGTTGTTTATAGGAAATTTGGATTTCCTCTGTAAAGAATCCCTAAGCTAAAAATGGTCTCTCATGGTGAAAGGATACTTTTTTGGGAAATGGGAGATAGGTTTCCCATTCACTTTGTAGCATCCGGATATATAGAGAGATTTAAATCTAGGTTGTATTCTATTTGGCAGAAGACAGGTTTATCTAAGCTTTTGGGCCCATTAGACATCATATATAGCATTCAAATACTTGGTAGCAGATTGGGGTATTTCTAGTTGGTCAGGACGTATGCCTTCGGGACACCTTGTTTGAAAATAGTGTAGCTTGTACGTTGTATGTTTATGTGGTGTGTTGTGTAGCGTGTTATTGTCTTTATTAATAAATATTTGTTAAACCCAGTGTTTCTGATTTATTATTCTTTTCATTAAAACTGTACCAGATAACAAGGAACTTAGGAGCTTCTAATTATACCAGCTACTTGTATAAATGTATATTTTGGGCAAAATGTTTACAATTCGGGGGTTATGATTATTTATTTTTATTTATTGACTGATTTTGAACACAGCTTCAAATGTCACACCATGGTTTCTAACTTCCATAATTAAGCTTAAATTTCACAAACAGGACATTTTACTGTTGAACTACAGGAACTTAATTAACTTAAGGCTAACTAATATACATTCTGTATTCATGACCACAAAATAGATTATGTATTTATATCAAGGTCACATTCTCTATTGAAATCAATCTACAAACATTAAAATTTTTGAAAAAAATAAAGTTTTTAAAAATTGAGACCCAAGAATCTTGGCAGTGCAAAAGCATGTTATTTCCATTTTATAATCTCAAACTATATGTGTGAAAAAATATTTTTTATCACCTATTGTCTCTAGCTAGGTTGGCTACTTCCTGCTTTTGCAGGTTCTTCCAGCAAATTGTCTTAAGTCCTTAAACATTTAAACTGCAGCATTCAAGATTTAATAATTTCCTCCATAGTAACTTTTTAAAGTTGAAAAAGTAAGACGTAAGAGTAAGTCAGAGTAAGACGTTTCGAAATATTTATTTGAACTTTTTACAAATCTAAATATCTGTCATTCATATAGTCCCTTAACCAGAAATGTATGTTGGAGAAAGAAGTGCCAAATATTTCTTTGTAATTCTTTGTGATGTGGCAAATAATGAGCCGCATTATTTAATAATGAGCCCAGCTGCCTAACACATGGGAATGGGAGGTTTCAAATTAAAGTGACCAATGAAACTAGTGTGCACATTGTGACAGGTGGGAGGACAAGTTGTGAACATGCGGCGACTCCATTTAGACAGAAACACAGATAGAGGTTCGTATTTAAGACGGGGCTCTGTGGCTCTATGGCAGCAGATCTAAAAATGTTTGTACTAATGTTCCTCTACATTTTTTATATAATATGCTCTTAATTTGAAAAAAATTAAAGAAAATTCAGAATGTGATACATGCACTATTAGAAGGCAGTGAGGATCAGGGAGTTTCCAGGGAAAAGGGATTTCCGCAGTCAATATATAATATATTATCCTATAATTCAATGTGCAAAGCAAACCATGATCACAAAGTAATTCATTTTGAAACATTAAAAGGACATTCAATGGTAAGATCAAAAAGCTGGTTTGTGGAAATGTAGTTACAAATGATCAAACAGATTGGATTAATTTATTTACAAAAAGCCATGCTTTTACATTCTTCTACAAACTATGGTTTATATGGTTTGTAAACAAAATGCCAATTCTCCCTAGTGATGAAAAGTTGCTTAAGTGGATATATTCATTGCATTTGTAAGGAGTAATTGACTTTCTAAAAACCTTCTATTTCCTTTCTATGATGACATATACATATGCTTCATGTAGCAAAGTGTGTTTCCATTATTTATTCTTGAGTTCATACTACAAGTAATTCATATATAATTTATCTATAATCCAAGGTCAACTGCTTTTGTAACCATGTGTAAAATATAAATCTTTATTGTCAATCTACAGTATGCAACTTTAACTTTTCATTTTACAGAATGTAATTAAACCTTATTAAACCTTATTTTCTAAGGCCTTTTTTCTTAAAGTATATAATAAAATTGTACTGTATAAAAGACAAAATAACTTTTCAACCAAAAGTAAAATCACAAAGGGACTCACATTCCACATATTGTCGGGCTCATTATTCTCAGGAATTATCAGAAATAATATTTTCAAAAACAATTTTATAAAAACAAATATTTTCTATAAAATTTCTTGGTTACTATAACTATATATGGCATTTAGGTTTTACATTGGTAGCTTGTGAAGGTCTCTATTTGAGGAAAATATTAATTTACAAATTACAAAAACTACCTACCTGGTCCCAAGGACAGATGATACCTCCAAAAAACATAAAAAGGTATCCCATGGCAACAAGACATGCCCAGATTACCAAAGAGAAAATGCGCAACAGCTTCTTGAAGACTGATTCAATGCAGACCAGAACAAAGATTGTCAGGAAAATTGCAAGAGCCGTTGGGACAGTGATTACAAATGCCACATGGTCTTCAATATCCTGCAGATAGAAATAAATAATGTTACAAAAAGAATTGGATTTTCCTATATGGAAACGTGGAATTTTTTATCCCCACTCATCTCTCCAATTAAATGACAGAATGTAATCTGAAAAGTAGAAATTAAGATATCATGATATAAATAAGAGACCTCCAAAAGTATGAGGTAATCAATATTTCTGAGCTTGGATGAACATTTCATTTTGCTATATGAAATGACCTGCACTTGAGTGATGTAGTGACTTTTTTAAAATCATACTAAGAAACAAGAATAGGATAATTACACCCTTAAAAGAAGAATGAAACACATTTTTATGTATGATGTATGTGTTTTATGCTTTTCTTCTTCTTTTCAGTGTGCATTTGTAATGATAAATTATGTATTAGTCTAGATTTCAGCCTTGTTGGTGGCTCAGAGAATAGCCATGAAGAAACAATTATAACATTCTGAAATAATATGTTCTAAAAAAAATCAGTGAAGTCTGATGAGATCAAAACAGTTTATGATCAAAATAGAATTGTGTCTTCTGTCCATCATAATGAAAAACTAAATATTTAATAGCTAGCTTTATGTTTAAAGGTATTCTAATATGTTTATCACATTGCCAGTTTTGTATAAACTTCATAATTACACATTATGATGTCAAAAGAGTCACTGAGTGTTTTCCAGTGGCTACATGGAACCATATTAATGAAATCAACCTTATTTTATTTGGTTAATCCATTAACCAGTGAGCATTAGAATAATATGTTACTGGAGACCTACTTTCCTACTAACATCCATCATCTGAGTTAATAAAATACACAATACTTTTAAGTTATTTTTTTTATTTCAGAACTCCTTATTACAGGTATATACTTGGTATAGTATTTACTAAATCCAAAAATATTTTGCAGAAGAAAATATCTGACAAATGGACCACATGGACAATTTTATTGAAAACTTCAGGTGACCTTCCTTTCTGTGAAAACTGAATGCCTTCATTCTAAGCCCTGGTAAAAGTGATGTTTAAGTGAATGTTCTGATTTTAAACAGAGGCTGTTCTAACACAATAGCACAGGCCTAACAGAAATTAAGGTAATAAAGAAAATACTGTACACACAAATTTGGCATCAGCTTGCAAGGTAGTGATCTATGATAATTCTCCAGTAGATAATTTCCCATCAGATATCCAAACAATTAACATGTTAAATGTAATTTTCTGATTGCATTCATTTTATATTATTTCTTACAACTCCAGGTGTCTAGGGGTAAAGGGGTGTAACATTTAGGATGATTTGGACACAGGTGGGGTTTGGTGCAGAAGTGATTTATTGTAAAATGAATAAAGTGACTGGTACGTAAAAAGGACACAATAACACACAAGGAAAGGGAACTAGAGCAGTGTCAAAGAAAAGAAAATAACACACAAAATGGAGCTGGCTAATAAAGTGAGGGAAAGCTGACCTGACTACAAAAGAAAACCCAAAAGAGTCGGTCTATGGTGTCTTCAAACACCCTAGTTAACCTTCACTGACTACCCAAAACGGCACTCACCCGTCCTAAACTAGTGTTACTAATACAGAGATCAACTACGTGTGCAGAATGAACCCAACAACCTAAACTAACTCTATATACAAACGTTCACACAAATACACAAGTGAACTACAAATACTAATAAGGGAAAATTAGAGCAGACACAAGTAACAGGGTCAAAAGAACACAGAGGTTGATACAATACGCCTGGGCAAGGTAATGGCGAAACAAGGATAAACACACCAACAAACGAAAGTACGAAGAGACGAACACAAACCAGCAACCAACAAAGCCGAAGTTATACGAAAACACACACACACAAAGTGAAATGAAGCCGAAGCCGAAGCAAACCCAAAAGTGAAACGAAACCGAAGCTGAGCCAAGCGGGACCGAAGTCAAACGAAAGGCCCCTTCATTCTGAAAACCTCCAAGTTATATACTGAATAAGATGAGTTCTGATTGGTCGAGAGTTAATAGAAGATGACGTAATACGGAAACAATGGTGTAATGATGGACCAAAGGGGGAGGGAGAACAATCAAAGTCAGGAAGTGTGGAACATAGCAACATAAACACACATGGACCACACACTTTGGAACATAACATCATTTTAAAGGTAAAAGCTTACTACTAAAATATTGAAATCAGTAGAAATACTAGCCTTCCAGAGGAATCAAGTGGCAGATGCCATTGCCTAAGAGCAAGCTGAGAAATGTATCACTGTGACCTGGATTCACAGCTGAAAACATAATGGGCTGCTCCACATTAGGTGGGTGTATAGCAAAAATCATTAGGGAAAAAATGTTCAAGAAATAACTTATTATAATTGCAATGTTCTACTCCTAATTAACAAACGGTGGTCAACTAATTTCACCCCTATCAACTGTGATGCAAGGTTTTTTTGCCTCTTCTGATGTATTTGCAGAAAATATGTGAGCTCCAACAAATGATGAAGATTTTGGAAGTTAAAATTGTGTCTTTTTGGGTGTCCACACTCACAGACAATGACTGTCTATCAAATGAAAGTACAGCCTTTGTACTTTCAAATGATGTGCAGTATAATGTGTATTTCCCCACTGCCCTCCAATTAATTGCTTAATCACTCTGTTCTCCTCCCCACTGACAGCTGGTGTGTAGTGAGAATACTGACACACTTTGGCTGCCGTCACATCATCCAGGGAGGTGCTACACATTGGTGGTGGTGGAGGAGACCCCCCATTTACTGTAAAGTGCTTTGAGTGGCGTGTCCAGAAAAGGAATTATTATTTAGTAGTGGTAATCTGCATTTAAATAAACACAGAATGAATTAAGGAATCATTAAAAAATGTACTTTTATATCTAGAGTGCAAATATGATACATTCATCTACAAACTTCTATAATATTTTATCTAAATTTTCCAGTTGTTACTGTCATGTCAGCCATCCTGAGGCATCCTTAGGCTAGTGGTTGCCTTGGAAGCCATCACGTTCTCATGAGGGCTCACAGTTTTCCAGAGCTTCTGGTGATCCGTCTTAATTAATAATAATCCAATTTATTATTCAATTCCCGTTTTTATATTTAATGCTTAGGCACTGTTTTGACGGCTCTTCGTTATTATTCAGTTTATCCCGGTTTCCTTCTCACTCGCAGTACTGCTTTCATTTTCTTCACATTTCTCCACCCAGTTTCAAGCTTTGACTTCACTCTGCGTACCAATTTCAGTTTTAAGCCTTCACTTAAAACTGGCACAGCAGCTATAGCCTCAGTTTTGCTCTCCATTCAGCACTCCAGCTTGCATACCGGCTCTTGATTTCCATCCTGGAACTCTGGACTCTTTCTACCTCATCTAGGACCCCAGAACTACAACCTTCTTGTGTTTGTGTCTTCTTTATGTGTCTTTCCTGGTTTAGTGACAACGGCTTAACTTTTGACTTTAATGTATGGATCTTGTCTGTGGAACATAACCCGACAACTTGGATTAGTGCTTTTTCGCCTTTCCCCTTTTAGATTACGAATTCTGGATCTGGAATGCAGCTTCTAAATAACACCACTCTGAATCCGTTTGACCATGCTTCCTTTAATTACCATCGGCATAGGTTTGGTAACTCTTACTCCGCGTTCCCAAAACCACCCCATAGGGTCCATTATCTTAAGTACCAGCTATGTTCTTTTCGTAACACCCATCACAGTTTTGTAGAGCCCTGCCCTTGCTCCTTGACTTTTTCTCCTGCTGCCCTCTTTCCTGCCATCTTTCTGGATTCTCTCTTTGCGGCAGCCTTTTCTCCTGGCTTTTAGGGAACTTTCCTTTCTCTTACTTTTTGTTTTTGGGCTGTCAGGGTCACTTATTCTTTTAACCATTTTGTTCCTTATCTTTTTCCCTTGCCACCTTCCAGCACCCTGGTTGGAGTCCATTGTAATTATTCCCGGGGAGCCAGGTGTCCAGTTCTTTCCAATGCTAGGTGAGCATCACTCCATAAGCCTGAGCTCCCTGAAGATCCCATGTTCCGTTACTCTGACTGGGACTGTTCCCTGCACCTGTACTGAACCAGGGATACTGGTATTGTAAGGACAGAGTTCCTTTTTCACCTGTTCCTGTCAAAGGTCTCTCCCCTGTTGATCCAAAGGATGCCTTGGTTCCCGATCCCAGCCTTTCCCTATTTTTGCCTGGGATGCAGTTAACTGGCTTCTCCTAAGTCTAATGTTCCTTCCCCTGTTTCCCTTCTCTTTTCCATTACTGACTGGATTACCACCCACGTGGCTGTATCCGGCCTTGTCCTTACAGTTACACTGAAATTGTTTATTGTTGTAGTGACTACAGAAGCATTTCAAGGCACGTTACAGCTCAACATTTATATTTAAATTGTTAAAACGGACTTGCTGCAATCTATTTTTATATGTGCTTAAAATACTGTACATTCTGCCATTTCCAAGATATAGACACATAATCAAAAAACAGAAAGGTTCAATGTCCTGGAGAGACTATCAGAGAGATGTAAATATAGGTATATATGATATCAGGATATATGTAACAGCTAATGCTTTTTTACTGAATGGAGGACAATTTTGTTATTGGAGTTTTATAACACAGTACACTCCAAAAGTACTGGGACAGTCAAATATATTAAAACCAAGTCAATGTGATTGTTAAACAGTACTAACAAGAATTGTTTAAATATAAAACTAATTTTATTTTGTATTATTCAGTTATGCACATAGATTTGACCATGTTAGAATAAAAACATACTTTGTGTTCAACCCAGTGATTTTGAGTGAATATATTCACTTTAAGTAATTTTCAGGGTGAAGAAAATCAATATTTGCACATCTTTCAGTAAACAACCTCAGTACTAATTATTTTCTGACCATTCAGCTCACTAAACTCTTTGTTTGGTGATGCTTTGCTTCACAGAACCTCTGCTTCATCTTTGAATTCTTGCCAGTTCCTGGGGTGTTCTGATTTATTTTTTCTTTAGTTGTAAAATACAAGCTTGTTTGGATTTAAGTATGG